ATCCCAGGGGCCTACCCAGATCATCATTCTCATCATCTTCGTCATCATCTTCATCAAGCCTGCACAAGGCTGGTCTGCAGGGTTGTGTGGCTTTTTCTCGCCCAGAAGCATGAAGTTTCCCTACCGAAGGACATTTGGATCTTGGTCCTCTGTGCTCTGTAGGAGCCATTTTTTTCCAGGGCTCCCCTCTCCAGGCCTGTTACGTCCACAGCTTAGGGACTTGCAGGGCACCACCACAGCCTTCGTCTTCAAATACCTACAATGAAATCATGGCCAAAATGAGTTGCAAGATGGCTGAGCCCCAGTTACCCGCCTGCCCCCGAAAAACTACCATAAGTTTAGCCGCGGTTTGAACTTTTGATTCTAAGATTGTAGTACGCAAGCCCAGAAAAGCAGGAAGCTGCAAAAGCTGGCCTCTATTTCTCCCGTCTGGACCGCCTTGAACCTTGAATCTCATCATACCTCCCCCCCCCCTCCCCCCCCCCTCACCCACTTGGCTGCCACCCTGGTGTCTCAGTTCCGTCCATCAGCGGCTCTGGCTGAGGAGGTGGATTTGGCGCTGCCAGTGGCGGGCAGGACCTTGAAATCTCCCAACATAGGCTGTAGGAACACGGAGATGTATGAAGGATTTGAAATTTTAGGGCAGTATGCTGAGCTCGATGAGGACTTGAGAGGATATTTGTGGCCATTTTCTGCATCAGTTGCCTGGGGTTGGGGGTCTTTGCTGCGCACTGTACGGATGCTTTCTTAGCATGAAAAAGTCTTTGGGTGAAGAATCAAGGTTCCAGGGTCATTGCGCCTGCAATCCCCCAAACCTATGATACACCCACATGAGCTATAGTCTAAAATCCTAGTATCCCCCTTAAGACGGCCTATAATAGTCCCCCATATATTCCCTTATATAATCCCCGTTAAGGAGATTCGACTATGGCTCATATACAAACACTTCATCTTGTATCATTCCTTTGGGCGGCTATACCCTTAATGAAAGAGACTACAGGTCTCGGGAGCCAAGGCGCCCCAGTTTGCATATAGTCCCCTTTAAGTAGATAGAATACGGGGTATATGGGGATCTTGTTATAATATACCTAAAGCCATATTCTATCTACTTAAGGGGGACTATAAGTGTCTGGGGGCGTGCGTGTCGGGGAGGCTCCCCCTCGTATCCACCAACTCGCCTTCAAGAAAATACTGTTATGCTACAATATACTGGGAGGGGCTGGTATCAGAGGGGTGTGGGTTTTAACCTGACTGAAAGGAGGACTTAAGTCAAAAGTTTCGGAAGTCATAAGGATGAGGGGATTTGCAGCTTCGTGGCAAGCCATCCACCTTCCCTACAATCCTGGTTAGAGAATTGCAAGATTAGCTGTCGGTTGGAACTTGGCACTACACAGCGAGCCAACAACCCAACCCTAAACCCTAAACCCAACCCTAAACTGCGTGTTTCAGCGGATCCAAATCCTGGCTGAGGTTGTGGTTGTCGTAGCTGCCGCTTGGAGGAGAGAGGTACGTCTGCAGTACAGTCTGTAGCGCTGCGCTTATGAACGTCTTGCATGCTCCGCATCGTCTCTAAAACCAGAAGCTCTAAACCCAAACCCCGAAACCCCAAGGGTTCAGGGTTTGGGGTTCAGGGTTTAGGTAGGCTGTGGTCTGGCAAAGCCGAAGGAGCCAGTAGAGGGCGACTTCACTGTCGCAGCTGACCTTAGACTGAGTGAAGTCACCATGAGGGTTTAGGGTTTGCTTATAACTTATACAGGCAACTTAAGTCCCTTAACAGCAACCCACTAGACGTTGGTTAGAGCCCTGTCTTTTGAGGGCTCCAACTGCGCTATCCAAATAACATAACTGTTGGCACTTTTGGCTACGCTAGAGGAAGTGATACAGGTCTCGGAACCTACTCCCTAGTCTTGATGGGGACACGGGAACAGTCATGCCCATTACTAGCCTAATTGCTTACTGAGTCCACCTGAACTTCCAAGTATTGCTACTCATACATACAAGGCTCTTGTCAAACAACAATAGTCTTTGCACTTGGTAGGGACTTTTATACCCCAGGCTCAAAATTATCTGAAGACCTCATACTATGTGAACCTTGGGCCCAAAATCTTTCGAATATGAGTCCTGAGAGCCTTAAGAATAGGGTCAAGGGGCAAAATGATCTCCGGCTTCATCCCAGCAGCAGGAGTGCACAGGACGATCATGTCCTCATCTTCGGCGTCTTTGCTCCAAGGATTCGGGCTTTGGGTGTTTCAGGCCTAGCAGAACCCAAGAACTTTGGAAGCCTCGAGCCGAAGAGCACTTCAAACACCCTAAGCTTAAGCTCTACCTGCACCCCAACTGTATGTAGAATGATTGCCTGTTGGGCTGTATTGAAGTGTTTGGGGCTAATATTTCACCTACCTGTGGGATTCAGGCAAACCCTAAACCCTCCTTACTTGGCTCATCCCTATAGCTCACAGGGACAATATGGACTCCTCAACGGCCCCCAATGGCCCCTTATAGTCCTCAGGGTTTAGGGTTTAGGGTTTACAAAACGGCCCTGATGAGTGCTTTGGTTGGAAGGCCTTTGTTGGGGAGGATTTCAACGCCATGTCGAAGTTTCATTCATTGGACTGGCGTGGGCACACCGATAGGCCAAGCCCTAAACCCTAAACCCTAAATCCTAAAACCCTAGGGCGGCCTTTGAACTCCGAAAATGTCCTTAACCCTTCAGGGATTTAGGGTTAATGCTTATAGGGCTTGTAATAACCGCGCAGCACCCCCTGATGAAAAGTGTTCCCCTATACAATACATGTATCTATCTGGGGGCACTTGTACTTAGGAGGGGCAGGGGGTTCATTACAAGGAGAAGGGATTAGATAGGTGTTTTGTGGTAAGTACAGAACCCTAAACCCTAGACTCCTTATCTTCAAAATTATGTGCCCTAAAAGAAGGGTAGAGTGTAGAGCCATATGTCCAGCCCAAAACCTACATTCTCATACCTTAAGCCCTACTAAACCCTAAACTCCTAAACCCTCAACCCTAACCCCAGACCTGTAAAGTCCTTAGCCCAAAACCTTGCCAAACCCTCAACCCCAAAACCTACCTGAAACCCCCCAAGGCCCAAAAGGCAATTCTCCTGCTACCCTAAACCGTAAAACCTGAAAATTTCAGGTAGATGTTAGGAGGACCCCCCACCCTGTAATAGTGGTATAATAAGAATATAAGAGGACCCTAATACAATCCCTATTATCCCTTCTAGTCACTATTACTGGGTGGGGGGTCCACAAAAGGTAGATGCTTCATGCGTGCCGGAGTGCCGAGGATAGTGGAGCAAAGCCTGCCAGCTCGCAGATCCCACACGCGCAGCTGTCCTTTTTATGTGAGCCATTTTCTAAACTCCTGGTATCCCCCTTAATAACCCCCATAATAGTCCCCTATATAATCCCCTATATAACCCCCTATATAACCCCCTTCAAGGAGTTTAGACTATAGTTCATGTGATGAGTTTAAAGTTTAGGGTTTGGGGTTTTAGGGTTTACAGGCTTTAAGGGTTAAGGGCTTTAGGGCTTAGAGTCGAGGGCTTATATGATGTAGGGATTGAGGGCTCTAGGGTCTAGGGTTGAGGTGTAGGCGCTGTCGAATCATGTGGAAATCGAAGGTAAAGACCTTCAATGGAACCCTAACTTTTAAGTCGTAGATGGAACCTAGATTGCGCCCTAAAGTCTACGCATCTTCGCTATATTAGGCTATAGTCCCCCTTAAGTAGATAGAATATAGCTTTGGGTTGTGGGACTATAAGTACCTTATGCCTGCAGAGTCATAGCTTTAGCATACTAAGGTCATGCAGTGCCGCAGAACTACCCACGAGCCTATAGCCCCCCTTAAGTAGATGGAATCTGGGGTATATGGGGATCTTATAATATACCCATATATCCCATATTCTATCTACTTAAGGGGGACTATAGGTCCACAGAAGAAAGCCTAGACCCTTCATCCAAGCATCTATCTGTGGAGGAAGAAAGGATGAGGTCGCTGCGGGGGTGGACCGCCACTTGCGTGATGGGGCTTCCTGCCACATGAGCAGGAATATGCTGAATGACGTTTGGGGTTTAGGGTCTGGAGGTACCGAATCGGAGTCGGGGTGGTAGACGTTACCTAGGGATGCAAAGAAACACTGGCTTCCGAACACTGCCAAGTCAATGTAATTTGTTTTGTGGTAGCGTGTTCTCAAGATGGAAGCTGAATACATGGCCCGACAAGAATACCAAAACCACCAACATTCAGACACAGTTACACTGACAAGAATGGTGTAAGATTTCTGGGCACTTTCATGTTCGCAGCCCCAAGAAAGCTATTCACTCTGATTCATGGCTTCTCTTGAGATTTTGTACTTTCCCTAACTAGGGGAACCCCGGTGTAGAAACCAAAATATTTACTACAAACCCTAGTATGGGGACCCTCAAAGGGGTGCCCTAATTTGGGGGAAGCCTCATTTGCTGCCGCTGAAGTACGGTTGATGAGGCAGGTGCCTGCTCAGACGGTCAATGAGTTAATCACCTCCCCCTGAGAAAACACCCCCAGCCCCTCACGATAAACGTTCCCCTAAATGGCTTAGTATATGATGGTACTACATTCTGGGTCTGTAATATTAGCGAGTGCAAGGGTCTACAATGGAGAGATTAATCATAACCGTCTCAAAACCTGTGCCCCAAGCATGTAGTGACACTCTCTGAACTGGCAGTATCCGTTATGGGAGAAGGGCCTGAGAAGGGCTGTCATCATAAAAGCAGCAGCAAAAGCAGCAGCAGCAGCAAAAGCAGCAGCAGCAGCAGCAGCAGCAAAAGCAGCAGCAGCAGCAAAAGCAGCAGCAGCAGCAGCAGCAAAAGCAGCAAAAGCAGCAGCAGCAGC